TCCTATCTATTTGTTTAATTTGCTATACTCTTTTATCCTTTCAATTTTTTATCTTTTTAAAAAAGAAATTTCTCAGAATTTAATTTCACGGTTCATTAGCTTTATTGAATATAATTTTATTAGGAATCTATGTTTTTATTATATATCAAAATTTTTTGTGACACAAAATATTACTTTTTACGCTTTATAAACGTTTTTTTGTTTAAATGTTGAATCGGAGCAATTTTGAAATATTGTTTTTTTGGCTAAGCGAAAGTTCATCTCTCCATTCAGATGGTTCTATAAAAAGGGTGTACTTACACGGATTAGCTAGCTTTAATTCTATATGGCTTGGCCTTTTTCCTATTAGTATATTGTCAGGTTTAAAATGTTACTTTTATACTTTACTAGTTTTTATTTTTGTTATACCGTAGGTTTTGTGCACAAATTATAATTCCTGAAATATTACATCGGAAAAAATATAATGAGTATAAATGTGGGGAGGATTCATTTGGTAACTAAGGATTTCATTAAACTTTTCAAAGAGAATTCGTGGCAGTTGCATTTTTTTTTTTGAAATATTTCGTTCCCTAGATGTAATCCTTAGCCTCTTTGTTTTTCCTCAGCAATAATCTAGTGAAAACAAAAGCATTTAACAACATATTTAGCTACGACTAGATAAATCGTAAAAGGTAGCTATTATTTTTTTTATAGTCGTTTGTTCCCGCACCTGTGCAGGAACGTAAATTGCCCATAATCCGTGATTCTGACTATATAGGCCAACGACAGGCCAGTTTAAGCCAGTACTGGGGAGAAGAAAAAGTAAATGCTAGCTTCGCATAAAAAGCACCTTCATCTTGCCCCTGGTGATGTTGTGAATGGAAAATATGAAGTCATTGATGAAGTAGGGTGCGGCAATTTCGCCAAGGTTTATCGATGTTATGTCCTTCACAACTCTGGGATACCCAATTGCAGTAGTGCTATATTACCGTTCAATCAGGGGTCTGCCTTCATGTCTGGGCCCGACAAATCCAAAAGCACAACAAACCAACACTACGATAATGGCAATCTGTTACCAGAACGTACTGTAGTTGCTATGAAAGTTATCAAAAGGGAAGATAAAATAAGTGCTGTCTTCGAGCGACGAATGCTACGGATCCTGAACGAACGCGATAAGAACAGAAAAGCTCGTGTATCAAGGATGTATGAGTACTTTGAGTGGAAGAACTTTCCGGTATTTATCATGCCTCTCCATGGGTCGTCATTGCGCTCGCTTTGGTTGGGCACCAGTCGTGTGTCTGTAAGTCGACTAATGGTACTGGAATTTGCTTATGATATTTTAGAGACGCTTAGCTTTATTCACTTTGATTGCCGAATGGTGCATACAGATTTAAAACCGGAGAACATATTACTTGAAGATGCACACGCCTCTCAATCATCACGTAAGCACAAATGGGTTATTTGTGACTTCGGAAGCTCGTCCTTGTGGCGCAGAGACAGTCTCGACTCAGATTTAATCTCCACACGTCCGTATCGCGCACCGGAGGTGATCTTGGGAAATAAGTGGCACTATGCCGCGGATATGTGGAGTCTTGGCTGCATCATATACGAAGTTGCCGTAGGGCATCGCCTTTTTGAGGTTAACAACGATAACACACACCTGCAGGTGATGGAGAAGCGACTTGGGAAGCTTCCTGACTTGTTCACGCGGCGATCACGAAACTCGAGCAAATTTTTTACCTCCAAAGGGAATTTTGCCCATATTTCTGATTCCATTCAATCCAAACAGCGCCCGATAGCCTCTATTAAGGCAATGTTTCAAAAGGACGTGACCTTCCTAGAGTTGCTCTCTTCGCTCCTCACCTACGACCCGTCCAAGCGCATCACAGCCCCGTATGCGCTTTGGCTGCCTGTCTTCGATCCGATACGAAACAAAAAGCAGAAGCCAACGACAGGAGGTACCAACAAGGCCTCGTACCACCAGCCAGCGGACGATGCCGCGCGCGGCGCGGCCGACAGCTCGAATCCGATGCATTCGACGCGTGGTGCAGATGCAACCCACACCCCTCCAGACTCTCTGGCGGCCAGTGGTCCGTGCCTGAGCCAAAATCCCAACGACCCCCCTCACGCAGGTATGAGGCAACCGACGTCCACGCTCCCGCCTGAAGCTCACAACGTAAGTCGTGAAAGCAGAGGTCAATTCTCGATTGAGCGGAGTGGCGTGGTCGAAACGCAGCCTTCAAGCTTCGCCTCCACGCCATGCGACGCGACACTAAAGCGACTAAACACTTCGACGGTTCATTCGACGGGGTTGACAAGCTCCTGGAAGTCTGACGGGGAGCTATACCGGCGAAACTCGTCTATGGGAACAGTACCCTTCATGTCAGGCGGAAACATCTCCATAGCAAAGCCGTCGCCAGGGGTTTGCAAGCATACCACCACCTCAATTGAACTATCACCCGTGAAATCTAAAACGAAGCGTGATGTTAGAAAGGAGTCCGAGGCAAAAGGAGAGTCCTTGATTGACTTGAATTCATGGGCTTCAAAAGTGGAAGACTTCTGTTCAAAAAGTAAAACTCATTCGTTGAGTGCTTCTAAGGTAAAGGACCCTAGCAATAGACGGCAGAAGCGTTCAATTTCCATTTGCGATGCAAGGGATAGCCCCAAGCGACAGCAACTCTCAGGGCAACCACATGGGTGTAACTTAGCGAGTAACATCACACACCGGGGAAATTGCAGTATCGCGCACAATACTGAGACCCAAAGCCTGGCGGGCCAAATCCAGGACATTTCGAATAAAAACACCACAACAAATCAACAAGAAACACAAATCCCACCATCATCACACCAGCTTGCCTCCGAGAATGAGGGTAAGCATTCATTGTCGGGATCTCTCAAGGAAGATGGCCGCCGGTGCGCCTCGCATTCCAAAAAAACTGCACAAAATGCCTTGCGTTCCTTTTCAACTCCACCCCCTGAAAATCTTCCCCGACCCTTCCCGGTGGCTCATCCAACGGACTCTGCCCCTTCTAAGCCCAAAATTGCGAGCGCGGCGTCTCACAAGACTCACGCCCGCGCGGCCACGTACAGCTCTGCTCACCTGTCTTCTCTGACTGCATGCGAGGGGAAGGACTCTGCGAGCCCATTCGACCTCAGCTCCAGATGCGCCGGTGGCAATTCTCACCCTCAGGAGGAGGGGAGGGTTAAACCTAGGAAGATGCAGGGCGCCGCTGCAGCAGTGACCAACACCGGAGTTCCGCTCACCTCAGGCGTATCAACAAATAGAGGGCCACCAAAGTCATCCACAGTAATGCCCCGCGGACGGGGCGGCGAAGAAACTCTATCCAAAGACATTGGGAGCGCAGCGGGCGAGCAGGGATCTCTCGATGCAGTCAGTACCTTAATCCCTTCCCTTAACGGCTGTAAAGGAAAGATAAAAGTTCAAAAAGGATCTGTAGGCTCTAACGTCACCCTATTGGTCAGGAAGCGAGTGGAACCACACAAAGAACAGCAACTACAGCCGACTTCTCTCAGTGGCAGCAGTCGACCGGTGGTTGCATTGCGTAAACAAAGTGGTGACGTTGTTTCCGTTCCCCAAGCATTGAGGGCTAGGGTCGGTGATACAGATGGGCCCTCACCTTGTGGGACTTCCTCAAACCCTCAGTTCGATAAGGGATGCCCACCGCGTCACAAATGTGATCAGAGGCTTGCATTTAGGTCGGGCATCCCCGTCGCAGTCCCGTCGATTACGGAGCTCACTGGGAAGAGCCTCAAGACCAAACACGAATATGTGAAAGAGGGTCATTCTCGTGGAAATGGATCGGAAGGTGTCGGAAAGGCCTATGAAACGCCTACGGACTTTATCAAGCGATGCCATACTTCCCCAACCTTACATCAACAAGACAGCCTGACGAACTCGGGGATCTCCACCTCCTTAAGTTCGCCACTGGGGGGTTCGATGGAGTACTCCGAGCACTGCGCGTCCGGCACCCAAGTCGAGCCAGCTGTTGAGATACTTAAAGCACAGGCTTGCAGCAAGACAGGCACACATCAACACAGCGCGACCGTTGTGGAGGCCCGAGAGGCAGGCTCCAAATTTCGTAATCGCACAATGAGCCTTTGCATGATGTCGTCATCGATGTTTATGACAGAGATTACAAAAGATCTGGCCTACACTCCTCGCACACGTAGTGCGATTCAGCTGAAAGCTCTGTGCGGTGCCCCTATCTCCCCGAAGTGCGGCACGGTGAACCCAATCACGAAGGAGCAGGCTGTGATGTCTGCATGCAGCAAGGGAGACACCCAAGAGAGTCAAAATTGCGCCGAAGAAATGTTCAATAGCGATATGTCAAGTAAGATGTGCACAGAAGGGGGCAACAGTGTGGTGGCTGCGCGAAGAACGAGCTGTGCTCCAAGCTCGTTGCTTCTTTCAAGGCGGTCTACAATGTCAAAGGGGGGAACAACCTTTCACCAAACCCTGACCAAGGTCTCTGAGTACGAGAATTCTCAAATACAGCCTAACCTGGAGTCTTCAAAGCGATATTTTGCTCAGAAGGACAACGCCTTTAATTATCAGCATACCATATACGCCAATAAGAAAATACGCGATAATGTTACGAGTCTCGTAGCACCGGTTAGCAACGGGACGTGCTAAAAATTAATGTAATTTATATGCATTCATTTTTCACGTGGAACACGAACCACTTCGATTTTTCCAAAAGGCCATAATTGAGCGTCCCATCCCCAGTGGCAACAGCATTTCAGAGGAATAATATGGGTGGCACAAGCAGAAGTTCTGTCTTGGGTTCGTCTCAAGTGATTGTGTTCGTATCTTTATGTATTTTCGCTCAATTATTCTACTGGCGTGTGCATCCACGCGTAGATCTAAAAGAAGAAATGATTTCCGTACGGATTCCTTTTTTGAGGACATTTTTTCCATACTTTCCGTGCAACAGGATGCAACTAATACCTCCTGCGGGTTAATTTCCCTATAATCGCCGGGAACAAAGACAGGAGATGGGGCTAGTCTGTACGCTTCAATATTCGACTACAAAGGCACTGAATGGGGGATGCTTTCAAAAATAAGCCTGTGAAGTTTGCTAAATGAACGGGATGACAAATATTGTGTTATGAAGAATGAAGAAAAGTGCACTTTATATACACAGACACCTTCCTTATGAGTTCCCCTTTCTGTCTGATTTTTTTACAGCAATGCGCAATTTCGTGGTGTATTGATATTTCATGTAACAAAGGAGCCTTAAGTAGGGCACGACAGCATACAAAAAGGTGGATCAATTAGGTTGAGCTTATGCATTTATATACGAGTATTGATCACCTGCCTAAAATATGCACCCCTTCGATAGGATTCATCACCGGATGATAAAACGCAAGAAATCTAAATCTATTCAATTACTTTTTGTTTTCTTCCCCACAAAAGACACACAAAAAGTGAAAGGATTGGATGGTTATAATCAAAGGGCTGGAGGGCTAAGTAATCCCATAGAAAATAATAAGTTGTAATGAAATATTCAACGAGGGTTTCCTTGGTGACACCAAGTCAGTCAAGGCTTTCTTATTCGTTAACTTAAAATTGTTGTAAGGCGAAAAGGAATATTTAAGGAAAGTTTTTACAACATCATGAGAGGGAGGGAGTAGCATCCTGTTTTGTAATTATTGCAGTTTCATCTATCGTATGCTGTTTTTTTTTTAGATCCCCTTTTGTTGGATATAATCGTCTGAGGTGTGGAAAGGTGCTTTCTTTTGATACAAAATTGTTATTTATTATGTAATGGATGATTTTTGTCACACTAAGGAGATTCTAGTAAGGAGATACAGAATGATCCTAGTTGCATAGTCCCTTTGTACTACATTTCTCTTTCTCTAATCGTTAGATTGAATGGTGTTATGAATAGGAAGGAACGTGAATAGCTGCTGCAGGAGGGGAATCATAACAAGTAAAGGGAAAATGGTGACAAAATGACATATCTACTGCAAAATATTATTGACAATGCCATTATTATTATTATTAATATTGCTATATATACACATTTATAAATCGGAATAACAATTCTATTTCGTTTATCATCGCTCTAATGTGCCAAATTTTACCCACCCAAGAGAATTTGAATGTTTAAATTTTATTATCTTTAATATGAATATAAATAAGTGTTGCTCGTGGTTATGTTAACAGTAATCATATAGATGTATATATAATATCATTTACCATCAACACAAGTCGTGCATATATCTTTTAAGATTTGAATTGTTCACGTAAAATATACTATAGATAAAGTGAACATGAGGAATGCCCCGTTTCATTGTATTGTATTCCATTTTTTTTTTTTTGACGGTATCTCAGCTTTTCACTGTAGAGTGTATTTGATGGTGTGAAATAAAGAAAATCAATCTTTAGTACTTCCTATTATGATTTATCATTGTACTATTAGTGATTAGGCTTGAGTATCTTCGACGTTCATTAACCTTTTTAAATCTCTTTGTATAGCACTGTTTCCCTATGTGCATATCACTGCGTTAGGAAGGGACAAGATCAGAACAGACAAAACTCTCATCGTAAGAAGATATAAAGCATCACATGTGGAGGCGTGCATTACTTCCAAACAAGGGGTTTTGAAGGAAACATAGCACATCCAAAGAGAGAAGCTCCAGTGAAACAATAGGAAAGGGGTGATGCGATCCTTGGCGTCCAATTTTCTCTCCAGAAGCTCAGCGCGAGTTCCAAAGGCTGAAGTTTTTACCCATCCTGGGGACGGTATGGGGTACTATTCATCCAGTAACGCCTCTCGCAACGAGGTTCATTCTCGGCCAGGGAAAGCCATTGCCCCCGGGCACCATTTCCATGACGCCGAACCCCCCGTCACCGACTTCCCTGACGACGGACAGACGCGATACCCCGCGACCCCACCCGACGCCGGACGGCCAGGCCCTTTCCCGAAGAGCAGGGGGTGGGATGGGGCCGCGGGGCCTCCCGATGACCCCACCTCTGCGGTCGCAACGAGGGCTGACTTGGGACGCACACCGAAGCCCGCCCTGGCCTCACGGGCCGGGA